AAGTTAAAATGTGAATAAACCACTAAAAGCATCTCAGTGACTTAGTGTCCCTTACTTTCTAGAATTTAACATTATTTAGTAAGCACTCACCAAATCAGAGAAATCCTACTTTGTATTATTTAATGTAAGCCTCTAAAAGTAACAAATGCTCATCTATAGACCTGTATGTGTTTCTTCAATATTAGAGTTTTTTGGGTTTAATTCCAATGTAAGTAACATACAGTGTTATACTAGTTTCAGGTGTACAATATAGTGGTTCAACAATTCTATATATTACTCAGTGCTCATGATAAGTGTTCTCTTAATCCTCCTCACCTATTTCAGCCATCCCCCCACTTGTTTTCTACAGTTAAGAGTCTAGCTTTTGGTTTGTCTCTTTTTTTTCTTCCTTTCTTCCTTTGTTTTGTTTCTTAAATTCCACATATGAGTGATCATAGAGCATTCGTCTTTCTCTGAGTGGCATATTTCACTTAGCACTGTATTCTCTAGATCCATCCATGTTGTTGTAAATGGTAAGATTTCACTTACGGCTGAATAATATTCCATTGTGTGTGTGTGTGTGTGTATACACAACATCTTCTTTATCCATTCATCTGTCGATGGACCCTTAGGTTGCTTCCATAATTTGACCATTATAAGAAAGACTGCAATAAATATACAGGTGCTCTTCAACATCAGAGTTTGTAACACTAGTGGCTGATTCCAAGAAGTAGGCACAATAAGATCAGGATACATTTTTTAAAGTTCTAATCTTCTGATATGCAAAAGGTAATTGTAAGAAGAAACAAAAATAAAAGCATCTATTTGCTTAAAACTGACCATATAATTTTAAAGAATTCTGTAAGCCCCTCTTTCACAATTATAAAGATCTGTATAAATTAAAACATGTAACTATGTCTATAAGAGCACTCTGTGAGGTAACTGGAAAATATTCTGAAGTTACTCCTTTTTTATCAACAAATTTTATTACATTTAATTCAATATAAAAATTATAATTCACAACCACATTATGGACAATTCAGAATGCCCAGTGACATGTCTTTAACACTTTCTCCTTTACAGACATGCCTGCTCTACTGTCCTACATTTAAAACAACTTGATAAAGTATCAGTAAAATGCAGAGCAGTTTTATACTGCCCCTATGATATCATAAAATCCACCTCTCCTTCCTCTGTCAAAAGTTTCCAGCTACAGTTCATTCCAATTACAGCTAAGTACTTTTAGAGAAACCTATTCACATGTCCCAAAAGTGCCCTATAGTGATATCCAGTCAGGCACATTAGGACATGCAGTTCCAGATTCCAAGCTACTAAATGAAAACAGGCAGGGCAGTTTTTGGAGAAAGGGCACTACTAACGTAGAAGACTTGCTGCTCATGAAGAATTGGAAGTCCAACGTGTATCTGAAATGTACTGCTCATACAACTTGCTGCATTTATTATTACATTTTGCCCAGCTGGTAAGTTGAAAGCTGTACAAAAATCAATCTATAAAATCTTCAACAATACTGCTTCATAAAATGGCATTATTAAATTATCTATAAATTTTTATATCAGCACCCATCCCACAATTGACAGGTAATCCTCACTTAAATGCTTGTTTGACAATATGAAAATCAAAAACATTTACTACCACCATTCTTAGGCTCGAAAATACCATAAAACTAAATATCAGCTCAAAACTTCTTACTCTAAAAAATTCATGGGGTCCTTAAAAAGCATTAGAAAGTGGATTTTCTGGCGCCTGAGTGGCTCAGGTGGTTAAGCGACTGCCTTCGGCTCAGGTCATGATCCTGGAGTCCCAGGATCAAGTCCCACATTCGGGCTCCCCGCTCAGCAAGGAGTCTGCTTCTCCCTCTGACCCTCTTCCCTCTCGTGCTCTCTGTCTCTCGTTCTCTCTCTCTCAAATAAATAAATAAAATCTTTAAAAAAAAAAAAAGTGGATTTTCTAAATTCTCATTTCTTTTTAAAAGTACATACCCCAAAACATTTTTACATAAGAAAAGCAAAATAATTTAGTATAAATTTTAATCTCCTAAGAGCCTATGAAAGATTCTAAGTATATAGAAATCTCACCACCACGAAAAAAAGAAAACTTAACATTGATCAGACACTAATGTTATATACCACATGCTATATTTTGCCATTTTTACAGTAATTCATTTAATCCTAATCACCTTGGGATGTAGGTGTTATCTCCACTTTTCTAGAAGTTGTATTACATCCCCATAGTCCACTGCTCCGATTAAAACCTAGTATGGTCTGGTTTGAAGTCCTCATCTCTTTATTATACATTAAATTTATAAAGATTTCACTTCTTAAAATTTTTCCTGTCACGAAGGTCTTGACCTATAGAACTTTGGCTCTTATATCAAACTTAAGGCTCCTATATAGAACTTTGGGAATTTATCTAAAATCAAATGATCATACATACATAAATATAAATTATAACTATTATGGATTTTAGACACTCACTTAATATTTTCTTGACTACCTATAAGAGGCACAAATATATCTACACATAATTTGATCATACCGTGCATGTCTCCAACTATTCTGTCCAACTAATATTAACACAGTGCAATTTTGCAATATCTAGGTTTTTCTCTCTTTATTATGATCTGTATACACGAATGATGACACCCAGAACTCAAAGTGAATAAAAGGAGGGCATAATAGTAAAGAGGTTAGCTACAAAGAAAAAACCCCAACATACTGACCAACTATATCTTCCAGAATCTGATCCTAAACAGCAAAAGCACTCAGCCTCACTTTCTGTACTGTTTACACACTAAAAAGTTTGATAATCATCTTTGATATTTTTTATATTTTTTGTTGAAAACCAAACCAGCTCACTCCTTCCCAGAACTTCATTCCAGGCAAGCCAAGTAAGCTAAAATATAAACTGTATATGGTTTTCCATGCTGATTAGAAATAAAGAGGCATGATGTAACTTACCCTCAAGTGGTCCAGGAAAAAAATATTATGTACATGTGACTGACAGAGATCTAGTGGTAAGTGGGTAAAATGGTAACAGGTGAATCTAAGTAAAAGTTACAGGAGTATTCTTTGTATTATTCTTACTCTTGCTACTTTTCTATAAGCTTGAAATTATTTCCAAATAAAAAGTTAAAACAAAAATTTATATGCCATTCTATCTGTAGTTAACAATACATATTCTGATTATACAGCAACATTTTTACAAATACAAAGCGGTTTTTGAGGAAAAATTCAGTGATTTGTTAGGAAATATGCACCATATCCTACCAACTAACAATCTCTTAGGAATAAATTTCAAACTACACTACCACGTAATGAAATGTGGCAATGGTGACTTGAGTTGAAATCACAGCAGGAAAAAAAAACAGCATACACACCACAGTTTGGTATAAATGCCTCACACATTTAATACAGGCCTGCTGCAAAATGCAGCAAATCACAATTCAAGTAATATGCGAGATCTCTAGTTTGCAGTAAAATATAGACAAACTAAACAAACACTTGCCATATTACGAAACAACTGAGATGCAGGATGTCTTGGTTTTGATTGTTTTATTAACTAAGATTTTTTTTTCCCACTGCAGCTCAATTCACAACAGTATATTTGAATCATCTTAAGAAAGGACTAGGAAAGAAATACCCTCCCGGAGAAATGTTGCAATCTTCTCTCCTACAAGGTTACTATTATCCTGCATTCCCATCCTAATTTTGAATTCAAGTGTTCACCACGGTTTCTTAAAATGTAAGGATGCATCAGAAGAGAAGCAATGCTCAGCAAAAGTTCACCGAAATTGTGAAATCAAACATTAAAAATAAGGGTTTTCAGCTAACAGTAATATACCTTTAAAGGATCATCTCTATCGTTTCTGAAGGAACCACCCACTTTAAAATCCTTTAGTACATTCCCTTAATTGAATGGCCCATCTCTACACCAGTAGTTCTTAACCTTTGGGGGGGGTCACGCCGAGTACGGACCCTTTCCCAAGAAAATTATTCACAAATGCAAAATTCTGCACATATTTCCAGGGGCTTCCAGAACCCCCGAAGCCATTATCCCCACCCCCCTCCCTAAGAATCCCAGTTCAGCGTCTCCTCGATTGCCTCTGCAGAACACTCCCCTCACCACAATTCCCGGCTCTCCCCGGGAGGGACTGGAGGCTCTGCCCTCACGCACTGGATTCTGTAACTGATCTTTGTCTCTCCGCCCAACTCCCTTCACCTCGGCAAGGTCACTAACTGCCAACTACCCCTTTAAGCCGAGCCATCACGGTAGTAGTTCCTACGAGCCGCAGCAGAACTTGCCTGTCATAGGATATATTTTGTCCCCTCGGCCCCACCTACCTTCCCCATTTCGGCGCGTTACGTCTTCACCACTTGCCCATTATACAGAAATAGCCACCAACACCACCCCCGGCGCGCCCCTGGCCCGCCGCTCCTCCCGCGCCCCCAGGGCCATTCCCCGCAGACCCTCCTAGGGCCTCGCTCCATCTCCTCCCCTCCTCTCCACTCCGCAGGGACCCACCCTCGGGCCCTCCGCCTCCCCCCCCCAAAACGCCGCTTCACCCACCGTTCCCTCTTCGGGCTGTTCCCACCGGGGCCCCCAAGATCCCACCTTCCAGCGCCCTCCGTCGGGCGCCTGCCTCCCCCACCACTACCCCCCCCAACCCCGGCATTCCATTTACGCCGGCCTCCTAGCCTTCCTCCCGGCTCCTCCCCTCCGGACACCTGTGTCGTCCCACCCCTCCACACACGCCCCCCCCAATTCATTCGCCCCGTCCCCGGCTCCTCAGCACCCCAACAGTCGTCCTCCCCTCCCCCCTCCCGCCAGGAAAGAGCCCGAGGAGGGAGGGAAGGCGCGGGGGAGGGGAGGCCGCTAAGGGGCCGCTCTTCTCCGGGTTCGCCGCGCGCAGCGGACCTGCAAGGCTCCCCAGCGCCCTCTGTCTCCTCCGCCAGCGGGGCGGAAGTCGAGGCCTCCCGGACGCCCCCAACAAGGGTATTTACCTTCTTGCCAAGGACGCTTTGCAGACGGCTCCAACATTGGCAAGCACTACAGAGAACTGACCCCGCTCGGCCGCCGCCGCCGCCGCCGCCGGCTTCCACCCCTCGGGCTCCCCGCCCCCCGCCTCCGCCCGCCTTCCCTGCGCTCCCGCCGCGCCCTCCCGGGCCCGCGCCGCGCGCCCCCGCCTGCGCAGCCGCTCCCGCGCCCCAGTCAGCCTGTAGCGCGCGCGCGCGCGCGCGCTCCCGGCCTTCCGCGGACCCGGGCCGCGCGCCCGGCGCCCGGCGCCGGCCCTAGCTCCATTCCTCCTCCCGCCGGCCCGCGGCCGAACGCGGCCATTGTTCGCGGCGCCGCTCCCGCCCCCTGGCGGCCGTCCGGTCCCCCGCAGCAGCGGCATCCGCGGGCGCTGCGGGGCTGGCGCGGGCACAGTGGGCCCCGGGGCGAGGGCCGTTCCCTGAGGCCTAGGGAACGAGGGCGAGAGAGTGCAAAGGGAGCGCGCCCCGTCCGCAGTCTCCTGTTGCCCCGCTCGGCTTCCTGGCCTGGCTCCCCACCCCCTCGGCTGCAAAGGGTGGGCCTGAGGCAGCCCTTTCCACACCTGCCCTCGGCAACTGCCTCCACCGCCCGATTGACCTTCTACTCTTTCTAGACGCTGCTACGCGCCCGGATTCTTTGCCCGTACCTTCCCCAGGCTCTCTGGCTGCCCCCCTTTGCTCTGCCGGGGACACGCGACCATCCCGCGTCTGCTCCGGCCGCCGCTGTGCGATGCACGGTTTAGCGGATCCTGCACCTTTCCAGACTCGGGGAGGAGGAGGGGGGCGGGGGAGGAGGGGTGGGGGTTAGTGCAACTGTCTCGCCCAGAAAACACTAGTGATCAGTAATCACCTGCTCTCCAAGATCGGCAGCGTGGCCAGACTCCTCCACCAAAAAAAAAAAAAAAAAATCGTATTTGGTCACATTAAAAAGAAATCCTTAGAACCAAAAATGAGGACCATCTTAGAACAGTGCCCTAGATCCTAGATTGTTGAGGCAAGAGTGCCAGAAAACTCGAATTACTTCTTGATTCGTCCTGGTTTTGATGTGGGTTACAGATGTCCAGGTGACTTAACCTGGCTAAGCCCAGTGAAATTCAACCCTTCACTTACTAAATGGCACCAAAAATAATTTGACAATAAAGTAAGTCTAGAAATAGAATTATTACTTTGTTTTCACAGACTTCCCCATTTGCATTATTATTCCCAGAGTTCCTTCCCAATATCAATGCCTGCCTGGAAAATGTCTACCAAGCCTGTGATTTCAGTCATCACCTAAAACTGATAGTTCTATCTACAACTGGGGAGACAATAATAGTCTAGTGGTTAAGCCAAGGGCACCAGAATTAGATAAGCAAGCCTGGTTATCCACTTGCTAACTTTGGGACCAGGGACATGTTATTTATTCAATGAGTCTGTTTATCCTTTTGTTCAAGAGATTACATATGATAATATGTATTTAAATGTGATTATATATAAACCCCTTTAAATTGGGCCTGTCATATGGTAAGATAGTAGCTACTGCTACATTTTCCTCTTAGAATTTTCCTAAGCTCCTTCCCCTCTTCACCTCTGCCAGTTCCCTCACACTTAACAAGTTGACCCTCCCTAAATCTGCACTAGTCCTTGATTAGTGACTTCTAGCTTCTCAAGCCGAGCATCTAGTCAACATTCAAATACTTTTTGAAGGTTTGAATGAATGCATGCCCTTCCTACCAGCCATTCTCCAGACAAGCCTACCACTTTTGTGTCTTTCCATAGGCTCTTACCCTCTCCCTGGAGTCCATCCCCCCTCACCGGATAAAGAAATCATCCTTCAAATAATTCCAAAATCAGCTCCTTGAGAGGCATTTTCTGACTCCTCTGAGCTGGCCAGTGCTGTCTCCTGACTCTCTCTTCTCTGGCATCGTAGGTATGTTCAACTGTTTTGAGCCCATCTCTCCTCACCAAACAGTGCATCTTCTCAGCTCTGTGACTCATTTATCTTTGTAGCCCCAGCATCCAACAGCAAGAGGGTGAAAGTAAATGCATTTGGAATAAATGGACGAGTTTATGCTTTTGAAAATGACTCTAGAGTGGTCAGAAATTTCATCCCCTTTGGTTCAGATAATTAAAGTTAATTGAAAACTTTATCTCCACTGTAACTTTTTCTCATAACTGATTCTAAGTCTTTGGTTATCCACTTGCTAACTAGGGGACCATGGGTATGTTACATTTAAACCCCAAATAGATTGAATTTTTAAAATTCTTTTGAGGAGGAAGTTTTCCTTTACCCTTCTAGATTCTTTGGATGGTAAACAGATATAAAACAGATTAACAAGAGAAACACTAACTACATATGCCTATGGGAGCCCCATAAGCACAAGAGACCCAAGGACAAGTCAGACAATTGAGGTTTATATGCCATCCTAAGCTAAGAAATAGGATAGGAGCCTGGGGCTTCAAATGGGAGGAGGGTGATTCAGAGGATGATCAGAAGAGCATGTTTGGTAATTAGATGTTTGTCCTGCCATACAGATAGGTCATTCAGATACAAGGTATCTCTGGTTATAACTCTTTCTCTCTCTCTCTCTCTCTCTCTCTCTCTCTCGTCTCTCTGAGCCAGACCCTGTATCTAAATTCTTTAGCTAAGAGAGAGATAAAGCTTTTCTTGAGTCTGCTGGCTCTTGATAGTCTTCAGCTTAAAAGAATCTGCATGCCAAAGTGGTATATTTGGGGGTCACATATTCTGCTCCCCTTCAAGCCATAATAGAGAGAAATTTGTTGTAAAGGTTGAATCCACTTTAGGTTGCTCAAGGTATATATATATATATAGCATCAGTATATGAAATCACCTGAGTGACACGGAAATCCACACATAAATCTATGATCTTCTGAAGATTTTACTTTAAAATAAAATATTTCGAGAAGAGTTGAAAGTAATGGATATTTAAAGAAGAGTGGTCCTTGGGGCGCCTGGGTGGCTCAGTCATTAAGCGTCTGCCTTCGGCTCAGGTCATGATCCCAGGGGCCTGGGATTGAGCCCCACATCAGGCTCCCTGCTCCGCAGGAAGCCTGCCTCTCCCTCTCCCGCTCCCCTTGCTTGTGTTCCCTCTCTTGCTGTGTCTCTCTCTGTCAAATAAATAAATAAATTCTTTAAAAAAAAATAAAATAGGGGCACCTGGGTGGCTCAGTCGTTAAGCGTCTGTCTTCGGCTCAGGTCATGATCCCAGGGTCCTGGGATTGAGCCGCGCATCGGGCTCCTTGCTTAGTGGGAAGCCTGCTTCTCCCTCTCCCACTCCCCCAGCTTGTGTCCCTCTCTCGCTGTGTCTCTCTCTGTCAAATAAATAAATAAAATCTTTAAAAAAAATAAAATAAAAGTAAAATAAAATAAAGAAGAGTGGTCCTTTAGGCAGCTGATTAAAACGAAGCTACTGATTTATCAATGCATCTTTAGCAGGTACCACTGTAGTCAAATATTCAACCACCAGAAAAGTATACTTTCAAATTCATCTTTGTCAGGTTTGAGCAATTTGAATGGGACAGATTCTGGAATCACAAGCCATAGTTTCTCTTCTAACTATGTCCTCTCTTTTCATATATTTTTTTTTAAGGTTTTTTGTTTTTGTTTTTGTTTTTGTTTTACCAATCTTTACACCCAACATGGGGCTCAAACTCACAACCTCAAGGTCAAGAGTCACATGCTCTTCCATGTGAGCCAGCCAGGAGCCCCCTCTCTTTTCTTATATTATTACATCCTTTTCTTAACATCTGTTTCCCTGTAAACTTCATCTGTCCCCAGTGCCCACCATATAAATTACTCTCCTTTGTGTGCTTATTATCAACATATTTTTATCACTACAGGGTATGTGTTTCTTCCAGTATACCTTCAGCTCCTTGAAGACAAGAACAATGACTTCCTTATCTTTGCTTCTCCAGCATCTAGCAGAAACTACCTACGGTGATCAATAAGTGCTTGTTGAATGAATGGATTGGTGAATTTGACAAACATTTACAGAGAACCTACTATAACCTACATGCCAAGTACTATTTATGGCCCAGGGACATAGAACAATGAAAAAAATCTGCAAAATCCTTCTCCTCCTTTCAGAGGAACTTACAGAGGAATGAATGAATAAATGCATGAAATAAACATTTCCAAATCCTTTACCTCTAGTAGAAAAGCATTCTGGAAATTCCCAGTGTATTTGTGTGTTCACAAATAAATTGATTTTTTGGAACTCAATATTTTTTCCATAATAATGATGACAAAATAGCTATTAGTAATGAAGGATAGTTGGAAGAAAGGCAGGCAGGGACAGGGGGTCCCACCCGAAGAGGAAACCACCCTTTACAGGGAAACCACCCTTTACAGGATTTTATACCACCCTGGAAAGAGCCCTCCACCCTTTCCCACATGATAGGTAGATGACAAAAACCTGATTGGGCGATAGGTGCATGGAGGATTAATCAGATTAAAAAAGCCCACCAACAAGCCCATAAAAACCCCTAGACTTAGAAACTCCAGTGGCAACCCTCTCAGGTCCTCTCCCACTTTCTCGAGAGCTTTGTACTGTGGCTCAATAAACTTTGTTTTGCTGCCCACCACTCTTCATCAGGTCTACCTCTTCATTCTTTGAAGTGGCATGACCAAGAATCATGGGTACCAAAGGAAAAGAAATCCTACAACATTAGGATATCAGTTGTCTAAAACACTGTACTAAAAAAAAGAGTAGAAATAAATTATGTTATAAATATAATCATTAAGAGTAAGGAAACAAAATTGTATTTAATAAAGTATACAGAGGTCCTTCTAAGTCTCATGAAACAAAATGTCCAACAAATATTTTTTTAATAGGGAACGAATTATGCTTATATTGACTTTTCTTTTTCCTTTATATCTATCATCTTTTCTCTAAAAAATCTGTTTTTTCTTGAATATATCTATACTTTCCACCATGCCAGAAATTAGTTACCTATGTTCTCTCTGATATTTTTATTCTAATTTATTTATTAGATATTTAATGGCATGAAGTCTTGATTTCAAACTTACTTAGCCAAAATACAAGATGAGATAGCTTTGCAATCTGCTTTTTCATCTCAATCTGTGTTTTATCATCTGTAAATTGGGTTCTTTTATTGAATAT